CCAAGAAGCACTCTCAGCAAGTAGAAAGGAAGATGAAGTGCCTTCACATCGCCTTCCTAAATGCATCGCTGCAACGACAGGCAAGGAGGCTGAGAAGCACTCTTAGCAGGCAAGGTGACTTGCAAGAACCCCAAAAATTGCATTCTATCATTGAACTCCTTGTAGGAACGGAGACGATGGGAAGAACTTCGCAGCCGGCCAAAGAATATTTCCTATATCTCCCATACCAAAGGTGGCATCAAGAAAGATGGCTAAGTGGGCGGATCAGATGATCCATTTCCATGGAAAACGAAAGCTTTTGATTGATTGTCAAAAATGCCAAGCAATGGCAGCAAATTGATTTTTTAAAGAAGAAAATGGAAATGAAGATGAAGAGTATGAAGTATACATGCATTTATAGGGAGGTGAAGGTGAAAAGACAGAACGTGATGTGCATTTATAAGGGGTGAAGGTGAAAAGACGGAATATGAGCAGCCATATTCGTGTCTAGTAAATGAGATTAAATAGCCCAAAATCGGGCAGAAATATCAAAAGAAAATGTGCAAAAATTTTAGCATAAAGCAGTTAAATGCCTGAACAATTGACGATTAAAAGACGAACATCAATAAATGCACAAAAAGCTAATTGACAATGATGGCTGCTGTTATATCAGTACAAGATTATAAAGGGAAAGTCAAATGCGAATTTACAAAAATAAGAGTTAAGGCAATATACGTCCTGATTACAATTCGCTCCATACCGAGCGAATTCTTTCCCTAAGCTTCCCCCAGTCTTCGTTCTGCCGAGAAGAAGTGATGTTCAATTCAGCCACAATATCATCATCAACTTCCAACTTCTTGTACTGCTCGACCAAAGACTTAGCTCGCTCAATTCCTTGGGAGGCATTATGTTTTTTAGCAGCCATTCTCGCCTTACAGTCGTCCATCTTGGCTTGAAGCTCCTTCATCTGAGCAACCAAACTAGTCATCAAAGAGTCTTCAATCATGACTTCGGAAGAGATTTCTTTCAACTCATCCTCAGCTTTGTTGATCTCCAGAAGCAAAGACTCTTTTTCAGATACGGCGCGAAGATATTGAGTACTTTTGGCATTCAATTCAACATTCTTGGCCAGCAAGGAGAGGACTTCGAAATAGATAACTTTCAACGTTGCTTTAAAATCAGCAGAAAGATTGAGCGAAGGAAGTGTCAGTGCTTGCTCCAATTTCGTATTCAAATTCTCAAGCTTATCCTTATGCCTGGCAGCACTAGCCTTACCGATGGCCATATCCATGAAGGACACATACTCAAATATCGACTGCTTGAGGAACTTCATATCGTCCTCTGAAGAAGCAGAAGGACAACTAGCTGAAGCAGGGCAAGATGTTTTGACTTGCCCCCAGGAAGCGAACAAGTCTTGAATGGAACGCACAATTTTATCAGCATCCTGCAAAGAAAATCGTCAATATTGAAGGTTTCCACTACAATAAACAAAGTGGAGGTAAAGGTAAAGCAAAGATGACCTCATCAGCAATCTTGGAAGATGGCATATCCCCAGCCAAATCTGCCACCTCTGGCTCCACCATTTGTGAGGACTTCCCCTTGTCTAAGCGAGAAGACCTTGCCGCAATGGGCAAACTCATGGGAACATCTGCAGAACTCAAAAGACAACAAATCAACACCAATAGCACAAGTAAAGGTAAAGCATCAAAAAACAAATTACCTTCTACTTCGACGTTTGGGGGGTCAACGCCCTGGGAAGAAGGTGGCTCGTCTATTGGTTGTGATGAAGATTCCGGGACTGAAAGTTTCTCTTTAAGCGTAGCCCCTTCATCAGCAGGTTTGGACGAATCAGCCTCAGCAGAGGATGATGGAGCAAGAGTTGCCAACACCTAAGCCTTCAAGGGAGAGGTTGAACTTTTTTGAGAGGTCCAAATAAATTATCAGCACATGGAAAAGCCTCAAGTATAGAAAGGTATGCTTATGAATAAACCGATTTAATTACCTTCCTCCTGATGATGAGAGGGGTATCATCATCATTAGCAGCATCATCCTCCAAAATGGGAGGCGCTGAGGCTGGCCGTTTGCGGCTTGGGGCACTTTTAGTTGCAGTGGGCTTGGCAAGAAGAGAAGTCGATGGACGGGCAAATTGTTTAGCACGAGCAGAGGAAGAGGGACTCCTAATGGACATAGGAGTGACCAAAATAGGAGAGGTGGAAGAAATGTTTGGCTGGTCTAGCGAATGGAAAGCACGATTGGCATCAGTCGCAAACAATCTGCGTTTTACTGACGGCCAAAGTCGTTCAAAAAGGGGATGGATGGCACGACTAGGATTGAAGGGGGCTAATGAGAAGTTGCTCGTCAAAAGAAGATTGCGAGTATTTATAGCCTCTACCTCCGTCTTATTAATAGTATGGAAGCGGTCTATCAAGTTCCTTGAATAGCAAGGAAGAACGGGCCAAGTTTGGCCAAAACCAAGTTGGCGAGCAAAAAATTGAGGAGCATATATCTCTACCCCAGCTTTGGCATTAGTCCCAATCAAGATATCATGGACCAACTCCCTCCCGGTCAAAAACTGAATCCAAATAAACAAGGAAGTGTTCGAATTATCTAGAGTGGATGGGATTGCACATAATCTGGAGTCAAAAAGGGAGGAAAAGGAAAGAGGGAAGGAATTGAATCCAAAGTATAAAAGAATGAAAAAATGTCCCTTCTGGACATATTTACAGGAGTCAGGGGCTCAATGGCTAGCCCGTAGCAGCTAGCAGAAGGGCTGGAAAAAGATGGAGCACCAAGCGATGGAAAATAAACTCTCAACCACATTTGAGCGAACCAAAAAGGTCCACTGCCAGTGGGAGATACACCATTCTTCAATTGGGATTGAAGAGAAGTCATGCCTCTATAGAGGGTAGCTAAAAAGAAAGAACATAAATTCAGAGGCCTACCACGCGCCAATTCGTGCGCTATGGGTAAATAGTTCAGGGAGGGCTTTATGCTTGGCACACACAAAATGTATTTACAAAGTCAAATCAGAAGAAAGGCCACTCGCTCAGTATGGGAAGACTCAGTGCTCAAGTGTTTATGAAGGGTTTGCAGACTTGAATAAGACTCGGTGAGGCCTTTACCAAATTTTGGGACGACACTAGAAATCAGGATACCAGGGAAAATGGTATCGCCCAAAGGTGGCAGATTTACTAGGGCCCCAATATCCCTTAAGGTAATGGACAAGGGACCGAGAGGAAAAACAAAAGTATTATACTCAGCAGACCAAAAACTTAAAGCGATTGGAAAAAGTATTGAGTCAAAAATAGGGGGTTGAAGAGAGATTTCTAACAAATCAGAAATCCTAACATTATCAAAAATTGTCTTAGTAAGACCATGGTCCACAAAACGAGCATACCATCTACGAAACACGACATCAGATTTAGGCCAAGTGCGAATACCTCTTTCGCGAAGTGGCCCCAGCGACAAAGAATTTAGAAACAAAGGGCCATGAGTACAAGGGAACAGCTGACCGACCGCCGCTTGTTCGATGGCCTCGGCATTGTTGAATGAAGGACCTAAATAGAACTCATTGAGTTCGACATTGGCCAGTGCAAGAAAGTTCGGAGTTACATATGGCCGAGTAAGGAGTTTCTGAAAGTCTTCCAAACTGAAGGAGTCACCAGACTGAGATCGTGAAGCAGCCATTAGAGACGAAATAGAGTTTTACAGAGTTACGTAGCAGAGAAGCAAGGAGATGAACAGTAATATTGCGAGAGAGGCGTGAAAAAAATGAGGCGTGATTTAGTGGTGCAATGAAATAACGTATTTGGGGGTTATCAGGGTTTGCAAACGTCGCACCTTTTCAGGCTACAGAAGAAAACAATGATTGAAATTCTTAGAAATTTCGAATGTTGCTGGGAAACACAAAGTGAATATGGCAAAATTAATAATTGGTATTAATTCTGCCATATTGGGGGATAATTGTTGACATACAAAAAGTCCAGCCCAAGTCGAATAGCCCAATGAATGAAGCCCAACTGGAAAATTCCCAAAATCAGATAGCCCAAAGAACGAATCAGTCAGGCAATGCAAGATAAAGGCCCAAATAAGGAAGCCTATGAACGCGGAAATACCATCGCCCAAGGTTGCAAGTCGCCCAAAATTTGAGCGAATGAATTGTCATGCAGTCGTCCAGAGCTGTGACTCTGCTCTCGTCCAAACATTCGAGTCGCCCAACATCTTAGCAAACATGAGAAGTTATGGTTACCTAAAAGTGCAGTTAATGCAGCAGTTATTGGGTAGTCCTATCACGTTCCACGGTTCAATGAATTCAATTGAAGACGGTTGAACGACAAAAGTAATGACAGCAGTTAGAGAAGACAGTTCCATGACAAGTTGGCCACTACAAGGAAAGTGGACAGTTATAGAGCGATCAAGCAGTTTTTTAAGCAGTTGATCACGAAGAAATCACCCAGAGAGTATAAAAGGAAGAAAAGACATAGAGTAAAGGACCCCGAATCAAACACTCTCAAACAGAAAATATGTAACTTTCGATTTCTTAATTTAGATTTAAACACTTCTTTTACAGTAACTCGTGTGCTTGCGCCCCTTGGAGACATTCTGTTTTTATTTTCCAATTGTAAAGTCATCGTCAATAAAAATACCCCTTTTTGGGACTTTGTCTCAAGAGGTTTGTCCTTTATACAATCGTCTGATCCCTTTTTAATTGTTAGCGACTAACCCGCACGAAACAGAATCGATCACTCGAAATACACAATTTTGAGGAAGTTTTTATACATGTGCAAAATTTTGAAGGAGTTGTTATCCATGTGTAATCAAGGTTAGACAAGTGTAAAACTTCGAATGTTAGAATATCTGTCTACGTAGCATTACTCAAAAAATTAATATCTCAACTCGTATTCATGTGTGCACTGAGATTGAAAGTTTGAAGACGCTTATGTAAAGTAAAACTAGTTTGGGACTTAAGTGCGTATTTTGTAAAGTTTGAGGCTCTTGGCTGTATATTTTCTCTTTACTTCAGGCGCCCGATTGTCTTCCTTTCGCTGGCTTCATTGAAGAACAAACGCACGTCTTCCCAAGGCAAATTGAAACTGAAAGAACAATCATCCTCACACACACAAAAAAGCTGGAATAGTAGCAAAGAAATGGCGGAAGACGAGGGCAACAGACCCCATAACAACCGCCCTTCTCTCAAAAGTCATATATCTTTTAATAATTACCCTAAATGGAAAGACAAGGTAGCTGTTGGTTTTATTGAATTATTGAATATGCGTAAATTTATTGTTCATACGTATAGATACTGTAGAAATTTTGGGAATTTTAGATTGATATTGTGTTGATTTGATGTAGCTTAGAGAAAATTGCTACAAAAGGGTCCGTGAAGATCGAACCCGTTTGCTTTGGAAATTAAGATTGCCTAAACCAAATGAACTGCACCTCAATCACAAGGTTCGTTTTTTGTTATTTAGTTTAAAGGAAAATGTTGTTATACGAATTTTTTGTGCTTCCATTTTATTGTTAATCTATGCGATGTATTTTGTTAGTGCTAATTTTTTTTTGTGCTTCCATTTTAGTTAATGTTTTCTTATTAGCGAAAATGAAACTTTATTCTGTAATTTGTAATACTCGAGTGGTGGGAGTGTGTGAAAAGCTATCCATGTTAATCTCCTATGAAGCCATTGTTAATGGTACGATGGATAGAGGGATTTATATTTATTTATTTCTTTATTTATGGTTCTCTGTAGGTGACAAAGCATCTTGAGAGCTATTGACACTTAGTTAATAGATTGGAGAAATTCAAAAGGCTTATGTTTAGTATTATGCATACACATTTGTCCTCACTGACACTTGGCAGACTGAGTAACTAGACAATAGATGTAAAATCATGACAAGATGGAGGATTGATAAATACAAATTGAGAGTCACGTATTAATGAAATAAAAACATGTTTGCAACCTTCTAAGGTCTCACTGCAATGAGGCTTTTAATTGAAAATTAACCATCAATAAGTAGAGAGACTGTTTGAGGTCAGCGTACCATTTTTTCTTTTTGTTGAGGGGGAGAAGGGAGGGGTGTGGTGTGGTGTTATTTCACAATGATGCTTCTATGCTGTTTGCATTCCTGTGGACGTCAGAGAAGTCCTCATATTTATGTATTAGACCACAGAGCAGTTGTGACAACCTGCATATCACAAGATTGTGCATAATTTGGATTTATTTAGCAGGTTATTTTCTTGCTAGAATTTTGTAGTCCTAGACAATCTTGGTAACTGAAGCTCTATACCGTTGAGTTTGTTTTGACAGTGATTGTGTTGTGTCCCCTATTAGAATTATTATTTTATTGTATTCTTCTTACCAACAATCCTTTGACCTAAACTAATTTTCTGGTTGCAGGATCTCATCAAATCAACTTTCCAAGATATAGTTTCCGTTGAATTAAGAAAAATTAAGGACTCGTCTTTGAACAGCGATTGCGGAGTTCCAACTTTTGGCACTGCTTCTGATGACATGATATGGGAATATGACGGTCTTCATACAGATTATCAAGGCAGCTGTGAAGAATTGTTGTTTGAAATGCAAAGGATATTTTATGAGGATCTGAGGACAGAGGAAAGTTTAAAAGGTACCATACGAGTATCACTGATGGAGTGCAGTTAAGCAATTCATGATTTTGAAGGAATATTTAATTTTTTAGTAGACATCATGAACTTTGTGGATTTAAAGTGAGAAAATATTTCATGTTCATGTTCAACCCAAAATATTCTAAGAGCATATCTTTAAGCTATTGCCTTATAATCAATGCAAACTTTTTTACGTAAATATTATCCAATGGAAGATTCGAGACGACTCTGATTTTTCGAGCTCCGTATCAGAAAACCAATTGGGATCTTCCTATGAGAAGAACATTTCTTATTTTAGGCCTCAGGACTGAAACATGCTACAGTGACCAATATTCTGTAAATTTCCATGTGATACCATTGAGAAAAAAAATGTTTCTTTTATTTTTTGTTCATTTGGTACTAAAAATATTTGGCAGAAAAAAAAATGTTTCTTTTATTTTTTGTTCATTTGGTACCAAAAATATTTGGCAAAATGGTAAGTCTACTCCAGATATCACCTTCAATAAGATTAACTTATCAATTCTGCTGGTGTGAGTTAAAAAGAGCTGTAAACTCTACCCATGGATCACTGGTTTTGTCATTGTTCAAGGTGGCAACAGCAGAGTCAGTAAGGGATGCAATTGTCAAGTTATATTATGCTGAGTTATTTTTCTCTTATTTTGGCTCTGTCAGAAAAAATACAAGTGCCAATTATTCTTGTGAGCTTAGATATACTTTTATTTCCTGCCAGAGCCAGAAAATTTTATCGAAACTTGGGAGGATGAAGAAGATGAATATTTGGCTCGTGCTGTATATGAGCACATGCAGCTTAATGGTGAACAGGTATAATGCTCACAAAATTTAATTTCTTTACTCTTAGCGTCCTCATCATGCACTTCAGTTACTAGCTGTTCCAGTGTTTATCCGCATAATCTCTTCATGTGTTTAAACAGAAGAACGCTGCAAATTATTTAATGAGACTTAGTTTGCTCTATTACTGTGGCTTCCTTTTGTAAATATTTTGAGAATTGTCTACATTGCCCATTTCTATAAAGAATTCCAAAAGATATACTTTACCTCTTGAATAAAGAGTTGGATGCATGCTCTACAGATAAAATTTGTTTTTTTACCTTACAGCATTAAATGTCTTGTGCATTAGAAAGAGATTTGACAACAGAAGGATAGAATTGATGTGAGTTTCATTTTTCATGAGAAATCATATGTAGATGGTAATTTTAATTCGAGCTTGGAACTTTAGGATCTCACAGGAAATTGCTTCAACTTTTGCTGCTTATCGGCAAAACCACTGCCTACTTTTATTACAGAATATAGGTTACAGAGTGATCATTCTAGGTGGTAGCTGGTGATCCGTGTTCTTTTTTAATACCTTAATCTTCATGACCACAGGCTAGCATCTCCCTGTTTTCTCCCATTTTGTCCCTTTGCTCGATACCAATTGGTTCCAGAGAACAAAAATGCATATAGTAGACATAAAATATGTTAGACATGAAGTTCATTAAAAGTTTTCTCACATTATTCTGAACTTTTTACTCAAATGTTTTAATAGTAAAAAGTTTCACTAAATTTGTTTATAAACTACCACATCCTAGATGTGTTGACGACACATTCCTCGTTGTTTTAAGCTATAAATATATAAACAAATATATATTAACTATGATGTTCGGACTCGGGTATGGGTATGTATCTAAGTGTTACATCTTTTATTTTTTAAAATATAGGATACGGGGATATCGCTAAAAAGAGTCCAAATTTCAGACATATGTACGTGGGTACGTCTTTCAAGTTTAAATTTTTTTACTTACCCAAGATGTCATTTTGAATAAATCAAAGTTAATTGTTCACAAAGAAAGAAATGAGTACTGAATAAGATGTTAAAACGAATAAAATAAAATTTTGGGGTTTAGTTTTCAATTATGGGAAGTTAATTAGTAAATGTTATATAAAATAGAAAATGAAGGATTTGATTGTAATTTAGACTTAGTGGAGCACTAGGTAGCACCATATGTAACCCATTTTTATTTTATGCAAACAAAATCTTAAACCGTCGATGCAAAAAGGGAAAGAAAGGAAAAAAGAAGAAAAGGGAAAGAAAAAAGATAGAAGAAGAAGAAGAAGAAAGGAAAACTTAGTGCTGTTGCCCTTCTCCACACTTTCGGAGGTGGCACGAAATTTAGAGAGAGCAAAAATGGGAAAGGAAAAAAAAAAAAAAAAAAAAAGAAGTAAAAACGGCGAAGTGTCCGATTGAAATTTAGAGGATCTAACACATATCTTATACCTATATCCATGTCCGACATGGGTTTTCCTACTGTTTTGAAGAGTCCGAGCATCAGAGTGTGTATATATATGTATGTGTGTGTGTGTGTGTGTGTGTGTGTGTGTGTGTGTGTGTGTGTATGTATATAGTCAGACACTAACAAATCATTCAAGTAGGATCATCAGTGCTTCATTGAGATGTGATGAACTCATGAAAGCATAATATGAATGGATTTTATAAGTTCTACAACTGTATACCTGCCTGAGTTTTGCTCCAACTTATTTTAACTTGGCATGCCACTAGCAAATATAACTTATTAGGTTTTTCCACTTTATCTTTTGATCTACGTGGATAAAAAGCTGAAGCTTTTGAATGCTCTTGATTTTTCTAAATAGGTAGGAAAGGAGGTTTGGTGCCCTGTTTGCAAAAGAGGAGAGTTACAACAAAATCGTTGCCTTATTTATTGTGATCGGTGTGGACTTAAACTCAACAGAAGCGATGAGGTTCTGCGCACTCTTTTTTCTTTTTATAGTATGCACTGTTGTGGTTGTAAATTAGTCTATATGGAATGTTTTGAGTCTTAATTTCTTTTATAGAACAATAATAGCCACCTAAAATTGGTGGGGAAGTTTTATATCAACCCCTGCAAATATAATGAAACCAAGACCAAAAATGCAACCAGAGTAGATGTTGAAATGACATTTTCTTCATCGCTGCTTCTGATTATCATATCCATTTTAGACTGTGAATTCTTTCTGTTGTTCCAGTGAAATGACCCATACCCCCGAGGGTTTGTGGTGATTTCAAACCAGCACCCTATCTTATATGTTGTGATGGCAGAAGATGCTGCTGCACCTAGCAACTAGTGCTACCCTATATACCCCTTTTTTATGTGCTGTAACGGAAAGTTTTCGAGGGTGTAGTTTGATTGCTCTAGTATGGGAATAATTAGCATTTGTTTAGATGTTTCTGACTATTTGACAAGAGGTTGGCATGGTTGACGTGGTAGCTCTACACTTTTTTGAAGCTATATATATTTTTCTTTTAATTTTCACTTTTTTATGTTTGAATGGCAACTCAGAAGTTCTTTTACGGTGCCAATGAGGCTACATTGTTTCAAATCTTCTGCTTCTCCCAATCTTCTTCTCAAATGTTTAGAACTAGTTTTTCCTTTTTTTTTATTTTTTTATTTTTTGGGAAGATGACAGTAATCACCTTGAGGGAGAGAATCAATTCATGAAATTTAATCTCTTTCTTTGGCCTAATTATCAATTAGAAGATTTTCGTATTTGAATTATTCGATCTTCGTATCTGCCATGACCATACATAACAAAAGAGTACATATTTAACAAGAACTTAAATACTATTCTTGCTGATGCTGATTGAGATGTAAGGCTTACCTTATTTTTTCCTTTGCTCTTAGATTAGTTTGGATTTGCTAAGGACGAGGCTGGCTGAAGCTCATGCAGAGCATCTTGATAGGGGATGTAGGTTAAAGCCTGAGTTCTGTGTTGAGACTATATTTGAACTAACTGCATTGTACATCAAATGCCAAGGCTGTGATACATTTGAGGTTGTAATATAGTCGGCTACTTTCCATTTAGTTCTTTCAGATAATTCATGATTTACTTGAAAATATAAACTTTTTGCTTCCTTTCCTTTTCGCTTTGGTCTGTCCTTTTAATTTTTATTTGTTAGAATGGCTTCTATCTTCTTTGTTCATCTGAGAGGGAGATGCTTATCTGTCTATATTACTTAATGTTCTTTAGTGGCTTTGGAATTAGGCTCACTGGTCTTTCGGAATAGTGAGAATAAGGTGTCTATTGTTCACATATATATCGCAACCTTTGTACTTTAAGATCAAGTCATTGAGTGATGGTCATATAAAACAAATCTTTTTGGCGAGACTTCAAATATCTATGGCTTTGTTTAAGTTTCAGAATGGCACTCAGTATCTTGTCACGACCCATGTAATGTAATCTCACATCCCTAAAACTTGGTTGACCTTCATCTTTAAATGTCTCGATAAAACGAACTCCCTTATCGATCATGCATGTGTAAATATATGGTGATTTGAGTATAAGAATACCCAATGAAACACGGGTTAGGTTTCATGCTTAATGCTCATTTAATAACATTTTGGGTTCATCTCAACATTATATTAATAGTTGTTTGTTCACATTTTTTGATTATTTTAACATTAAAAAAAAAAATTCAACAATTTGAGTTCATGATGTGTCGTAACTCAACTTTGTAGTTGATTGCTTGGCTTGCAAAAAAAAAAATAAAAAAAAAAATTGAAAACAAGATTAACAACTTCGAACTTGAAAAGTTTACTTGAAGAATATGAATTATTATTTGCAAAATTAACTTTTTTTTTTCTCCTTCTAATATGCGGTCTAAGGTCCTGCTTCCCCAGCACAAACATCAAAAACTTCGAGAAGGTGACCTAGATAATAACTTCCAACATAATGATGAGAGAATGTCAACTCATAAAAGTGTCTAAAATTCCCCCAAAACGCCTGTAAATAAGGCATTGCATAATGGAAAAATAATTGAAAAACATCTCTCTTAACTTCCACTCTACAAAAAGTCCCATATCAAAAATGCATTCGCGAGCGAACCTCTCTAAAATATAAACGCTATCTCTGAACGAGAAGCACTTTCCAACGAAAACAATGTCGGAAACTCCATCTTTCACTTTCAATTTGAAAATTGCATTCAAAAATCCCCAAAAAATGAGGGAAACCCTCCCAAAATTCAGGCTGAAGACATAATGTTGGTTTTAAAAAATAGTTTTCATTTTTTTAGGTCAACAAGAGGATTAATATCAGGTTCCATGAAATATGTAGATAATAATGCGTAGTAATCATGAATGTATGATTGAAATGAGTGCTTCACTTTGACCAATCTTATAAATTAATTCATTAGTCTTCGGGTGGAACTAATCGAAAGAATGCAACTCTCTTGGTACACTAATTTTTAAGGTCTTCATTTAGATAAAGTACACTAGTCGGTGAACCTTACATTGAATCTGGAAATAAGTTATATGTACAGTCTGAGCTAGACAATACATATATAGCTACTCCAGTATAATGGAATAAAAAAGGATTAGTGTTCAAATTACGATATCATTATGTTTGCGTTTGGTTTCAATCTTGAGAATGTATGTATGTGTTGTCAAGGTATATCTCATCATGTCATTCATTGCTATTTATCTCAAAGAAAAATGATGAACGCAATTAATCAAAATCTTAGTACTATATTTAGTTATTTACACACATTAGCTTCTAATATTTTATTTTATTTTCTCAAGCTTGGTCGATAATAATTTTTTATTTTACTTTACTCATATTTCAAGATATGATTTTTTTTTTTTTAATGAAGTAAAGTTAGTAAATGTTGTCTATAGTGTAATTTTTGTAAATTAATAACTTCTATTATATATAATAAAATTTTTCAATCACAACCTTAATAATTTAAGTGGTTATACTTAATTTTTAAGGACAATTTCACAAAAGGGAATAAACCTTTCACCTTCAAATTAATGAAATATAGTTATAAAAAAAGGTATATTATGAAAAAAAATCCTCCAAATTTCAATATTCAGCGTGCTCTCCAATCCACAACTGTTAGGTACAATCACACGATAAAAATATAGACTTAACATAGAACTTTTAAAATTATTAATCTGCAAGTGCAGTGTGCACATCTAAATATGCTCAACACTCAAGTCACTGTTGCTAGAGAGATGAGCACTCGCACCGCGCACAATAGTCATCTTTGCCACTGATCAAATGACTTCTCGTGGTCAATCTTGTGCTGTAGTGAAAAAGCACGAGCAATCGCGCGCAAATATTCTGAATTGTGAAAGAGTTGGCTCTCTCTTTTATGTATTGTAGATTAAAAAAAAAAATCTGCTACCTCGTGGATTTTCAAGAAAAAAACTTTATTTCCATGTAATGTGCAGACTTTGCTCGAGAATACACACCAATAAGAGAAAGAGAAATAGATAAATTGTACACAATAATTATAATAATCTCATTAAATAAAATAAAACTAAAACATATAAAGTTTTGAATATAATAAAACAAATCATTTTCTCTTCCACATCCGAAGCTCTAAAATGGCACCAACAATGAACAATGTGACAAGCACAACAGCAAAACCTGCATTCCACCCAGTTCCAGCATTGCCTAAATGAATCCCATAGAACACATTCACTGCTGCCAAAAATATTAGAATCCTTCCTACACTGAAATGGTACCAGTTCCAATATTTTCTAACCTTCGACTCCTTGTCCGGTCGAGCCAAGAATGCGATAACCTGTTACATACAAATCATACTTTTCAGATCCGTGTCATATAATCATTGATTATTTTTATAGCTAGTGGTGTTACACTTACCCTACTTGACGTTAGCTAATATCAAATCGCTCGTTTATTAAGCCTCCGTTCGTTTCATATTTTTTGAAAAATGAGAATGAAAAATATAGTCGTTACGGGCCCCATACAAGAGAAAAAAATTCAAATTTGATGGCTTAATGTGATGGATAACGATCATATTTTTCATTTTAATAAGAAAATAATAGGAACCCAACAGGGGCTAAAAACAAACAGTGAGTTTTTTATTCCTATTCTCAATAAATTAGGGAATCGGTTATATACACTCAAAAATTTGTGCCAAGTACCCATAATGCTACATCCCTATCTGGTACAAATTAAAATTTAGATTTTAATCTAAGTCAAAGTCAATAACTAAAATTTAGATTTTATTCGTTCACAAGGGTGAACCTATGAAGGGACGAGCGGATGCAGTTGTCCCCACGTGATTTTCAAATGTGGCTTTTTTAAATTCAAATATTTAGATCTTTTTTTTGGGTTTCTTTTCCAATTTATTTGAAATAATTTTTACGTACTCGTGTCTCGCTCCCACTGAATCGTAATTCTGGGTCTGTTCCTGTTCATTCATTTAATTTTATTTTTTTTAACCAAGAGATCAATCTTCAACTCTTGATCCATTATTTTTTCTTGTTAATACTCAGGTTGATAAATAAAAATGAAAATGAAAAAGACAAACCTGGAGGCAACCAAGTGTGAGAATGAAGATGCCAAGGCCTTTGTGCTTATTAACATTCGCTCCGAGGCGATCCTCTAAGACGATTCCACAAATAACACCGGCTACTCCAAGTACGAATCCACATGATTGGATGATTGAATGAGAATAAAACCAGATTGGGTCCCACTGCCTCATGTGCCGAGCTACCAATACACCAATTGGCATTAAAATGCCCCATCCAACCATGTTTAAGATCCCATGGCTTCTCTTCAGACTAGCATCTGGATTTTCTTTTTGAAATTGTCCTTTCACCACAAAATTTTGACACAAAAATGTTAAGTCGTGTCGTCTAAAAGTCGATTTCGTTAAGAGATGAATTGAATTGTATTTTCGATACATCAAGTCAAGTGTCAAGTAAACTCATCTTTTTTAATTAAAAAAAAGTTCAACGTACCAAATATTTCTTAATTATAATAAGTTGAGCATGGAGCTACTTCGATGTTTAATCTTATAGAAAAACTATCATGAAAAACGGGACTCAATGATTTCAAATATTTTACGTGGACTTGATCGTTTTTACAGTTGCAAATAAGAGATCAAGATCCAGTTCAAATAAAGAACGAAGCCTTTTCAGATCATTGACCTAGATGAGTTAAGGGTGAATTCTAGCCGTAAATAAAATTTTAAGCAAATTTCTTAACTTATAATTGAGTCTCCATTGGATAATATAATTATTTAATTCAGTCCAGACCTAATCCTATTATATTCAAGAGGACCATCATAACGGTGTAATTGTTAAGGATTGACATTACTTTACTCATAAGATCCAAGGAAATCTACTTTTGATAATTAGATGTTTGATTGGACAACCTAAGTTATGTCCCATATTTAGTTCATACTTAATTGTATTAAAAATTATCCGTAACTTCGATATTATGAGAATCCAAGCATATCTAAGACGCGTACGAAAAACCTAAATTAGCTCCTATTGTTTCTCATTCTTTTCCCATTAAAATAAAATAATATAACCATTATCCATCACATCAAGTCAGCATATTAGAATTTTTATCTTTTGTATGGGGCTCATAACGACTATATTTTTCATTATCATTTTTACATAAATGAGAAACAAACGGGACATAAGTAAAAGTATTGTTTTTCCAATATTTGAAAAAAAAAGAAAAGAAATACCATTAAATCAATACGATAGTTGGGGAGGTACCCTATTATTTGTGTGTTTATATTTTCAAAATAAATTATAACGAACAAGTAACAATGTTGCCTTTGAAGTCAAATAAGTTAAAAATTACTTATAAGTTAGTTAGCCGGACATAAAATAACATCTTTAATCTACCAAAAGGAGTTGACAAGCAGCTGTCATGGAGCCCCATCACATGCTATAGTGAACCTTCATCTATTATATTCTTTATATAATATTTATATAATATACATTTTTTTATGGAAATTTCAATAAATTATAACTAGTGGCATATTGTTCATCTTTGACACATTTTAGTGTATTAAAAGTGTTGAATTTATTTATTTATTTAAATTTAAAATTTAAAATGTCAGTTCAAGCATATACTCGATGAGATCGTGAAAGTTAGAGAAGATATTTATCTACTTTTTTATTACCTCATTTTATAACTTAATTAGCTATTGATAACGGCAAATTTATTGCTTATAATCTTCTTCCCTTACATCTAAGTC